GATGTCCCTTACCCTTGGTCGAGCTTCTTTCTCCACCTCTACTATAATCGTCTAGGGAACAAGATATCAACTTGTTGCTGTAGGTATTGAGCGCGGGCCAAGGCCTCTGTAGAGGGTTGGTTTTATTTTATTATTTAGACACGGCACGCGAGACCGGGCTATCCTCTTTCTCTTCTGTGTTCTCCTTCGTCTCGGAATTAGCCGCGCGCTTTGTTCCGACTTAATATATTACCAACTACTATATTATGCTTCACTGACATCAAGAACATCTAAAATGCGATAAATCGAATGTCATAAAATGAATTTGTCTTTTTTTCTCTCGTTTGTATACAATCTCATCTCTATAAGCCAATTTATGCAACCGCACATGTCACGCAATATTTGAAAAAGTCGCTCTCTTCCAGTAATTCGATCAGTTTAGATTAATAAAATCTCAATCATATAGAATAACACAATATTTAATCAGTAAATATTTGATGTGGCTCATTATAATATATGATTTAATACGATTTAAATACATATTAAATATATATTTAATGTTATAATTTAAATTTCTGTGTAAATTGATTATACAATTGAGAGACATTCTATCATTAAGTTTAGCAATATTTTTCGCGAAAAACGATATTCGTTAATAGAAACTTTTAGTTTTTAAATTTTCTATATTGAATTTTTATCTCTATAAATCAAATAGCGATTATAGTCTCTAGATTGTAAAACGTACACGAATAATGGCGTCGCGTTATTACATGAAACAAAATGTCTGGTGATTAAGAAAGAATCATTAAGCGAGAATTAGTAACCATTTTACTCAAGGTTTCTTACGGGACATTCTCGAGATGCGTGTTTACTTGAGAACACTTGTTGAACACTGAGCTAAGATTGTCCGAGCTAAGAAGCCACTTGTTGCTTCGTCCTTCCTAGGAAGGAAACCCGGGTCCCGTACCAGGATACTTAGCACTGATAACCGCAGAAATCCTACGAAACTACTGCAATCGAAATGTATATCTTAAAAGTAAAATGTACTCTTACTGTGCTGTTTTAAAATATGGTATGCTAAAATAAAAAAATTCTATTACACAATTTATGGTTAGGTACTTTAATACATGATACATTTAAATGCAAATTTCTCTCTATGTAATTTTTTTTAAGTCTTTCTTATGATAAATTTATCTCTTCCCTTCCTGTCATGATCGAAATATTCCATTATTGCTTTGATGCTTATATGTACGAAGGGGGCGTCTCCTGAGACAGGGGCCACATGTCCCTGGCTCGCTTTCAGATATAAGCGAATCTCTAGTGCACGATAGAGGTTTTAATCGAATGTGAAGCTAGTTATCAAGTTCAAATGCTAACTTTAGATATGGAAATACGACTTTGCTCTTAACGGGCGACAATGCGCGACAGAGATACGTTTGACGTATGGCATCCGGTACACATGTTTAATTGTAAGAGTTAAATTGGTACGAATTTTATAGACGTATTGATTTATTTCTATCGAGTCGTACATCTCAGATTTTTGGTCTGTACAAACACGTAACATTGATTTATCGTTCTAATTAGCATCTTACTTTACGGTTTATCGATCGTTTAAGAAAAAAATTAAAATCTAATGATTTTTTGTACAACATTTTCCTATTTTTTTGCGCGAAAAATATGTTTATTTATATATCGAGATTGCTATTTGTTTGCTTTTTATTGAACACAGACGGGAGGGAGAGCCAATTGCAACATAATCTATATCGATTTGGCGACTAGCGCGAATTAATAAATTTCCAGTGAGTTAACACGCTGAATAGGAAACTTAAAAAAAACACATAAGCTCGCCCTGAGTCTTTTGCGATGATTAGATTCTGCCACGTGTCTATTGTACCATCTATCGATGCGACGCCCCTTTTTTGGATGCACGCGCATAGCACGCATATATGCTTACGCACAGGATGTAAGACGAGAACCCAAAAACTAATCTCATTGAGGATACTTCGCTCGACTAAACCTAGTCTTTATGAGCTTTTATTGCGGCGTAAAATCGATAAAAGAACTTAGTAGTCGTTGTTATTTTCAGAGAAAAAAATATATTTATTTATTGAAAAGAACACAATATTACATAAATTACGCTTTGAAAACTTGAAAATTATTAAAATATATTTACATAAAATATAATAATAAAATAAAACTATAAAAATATGCAAAAATTAACTTAATGAGTTATTTTCGAAATCGAAATATCAAATACAACTCTTGATAACCAATGATTATATTATTTTATATTTCATAAATGAGTATCAGATAGTTTTTCGTACAATACAAATGATGCGATGTGCACAATGAATAATGCGTATAATATATAATCCATATCCAGAAATATCATGTCAATGTTCGAACAAGCGTATCGAGGCTAAATTGTCAAAGCTGGCTCTATACCTAACGAGAGCGTACGCTTTACGCGATCGTAACGCGCGCGCGTAACAGGAAACTAATTATAAATCTGTTTGCAACAACGCGTTATAACCGCGCTCGGCGCGTTGATACATCGGCGCGCGTGTACTTCTTTTGTGTCCGACACATTAGAAACTATTTTTAAGTCTATTACGCATAAAACGCCGTGTATACGCCGTAATGCGCGCCACGACGAGAAAGAGTTTAACGCGAGCACGCAAGAGCGTCGAGAGCATTCGCGCACAATGGCCGCGGTTAATTCTACACTCGACGGCCGCGATCGTAACGCGCTTTCCAGTAAAGGACTCTCGTAATCGTCTAATCGCCGTAGAACGGCACCGAAGTGCGCTTCAATCGCGATCGCACACACAACACGGTTTGCCATCCCGTCGCGAGGGGGAATATCTGATTGATGATTAAGGGGCGATGGACAGAACGGGCACGAGATAGCTAGGGAGTAATCTTGGGCCGGACAAAGATTTTCATCCGAGAAACTCTCGGATTTGATTTTCAACCCCATCGTTTTCCATCCCCAATCGGGTGGAAAGGGGTGAAGCGCGACGATCCCGCCATGTTAGAAAACGATCGACTCTTGGGTTTGCTTTTATCGGGTTACGCAACGTCCACGAAAACCAGTCGGCTAAGTTCTTTGTCTACAAAGCCATCTGTCACCCCGAAGTGCTCGTGTGAGGGTGTGGGAAACGATGTGTGGGCGGCGGCGTCGATACGTGTGCTAGCGCGTTACGCGTGTCTCCGTGTTCTCCGTGTCTGCGTGGACACGTCTCTGTGTGAACGCTAGCCGTGTATGTATGCCAATATGTGAGATACGATCGAGATAAAAGCGAGATAGCGCGACAAGTATAAGCGGACCTTTGGGACGTGTATTGAGTATTGATTTTCTCCGCGCGGAGTGTTACGCGCCACGGGCTAAGCCGAAACGCAGCGAAATTTATTAATCCCAGCGAACGCGTCTGCGTGCCACGGTAAGACGCACACGATTTCGATCGTTTTTTCAAACGCGAATTATTCGACGACGATTCGCGAAGACGAAACAATCGAGACTATCTTGGAGTAAAATATCGAAAGCATCGTGCTGCAGAAATTGTGATATCGCTATTTTAGAGAAAAATTAGAAAAATTCTACACATCTTCCCTGTAACATCAAAATCGATTAGTTGATAAAAATTTGCGATCTTTGTTAAATTACGTAAACTTTTCAATTCTATATCTCCTTGTATAACGCTGTTGACTAAACTCACTTTGCAACTTAAATCTCGGTGCTGCATAAATTGGTTAACTCTAGAGAGTCTAGTGACGGAGGAGGAAAGGAACGTTGGAAGATGGATAGGGAAAGAACGGGAAAGAGAGCGAGAGAGGATACGGCTGGGAAAACAGCTAATACATCATAAACTTAGGAACAAAGAGAAGAGAGGATGTGTCGAGGCTACACCGGAGAATCCACAAACTCCGGCATCCTCGCGACAAAACTTTACCTATTTGTTAAGTCTTGCCGGCCGAAACTGTCTCAGATACTGGCATCGAACAGTACCTCATACCTACAACCTCCTTGACTCTCGTCCTCCTCCCGTGACTTGTACTTCCTTCATCCTTCCCTGTGCATTCCAGTCGAAACAATGCAGTGGATGCGAAAGTACATCGTTCTATCCCAAAGTCTCAAATAATAAAGTCAAGTTATCGATGTTGAGATACGCTGAGTTCTGTGCAAACCAACTTTATCTAGCGCGGATATTTATGCGCATAGCGAGCTATTGTGCACTATAAAAATAAATAAATAGACACATACATTAGATTGCACGCGAGTAAAAATGGTTTTGGAAAAACAAAATTTATTATTAATGTAAATAAACGGGATACTTCTTCACACAATTCTCTATTTTATGTACATTTCCAATAAAATGACTCATCGCAGGAAAATGCTTTTATTTTTAACCGTAGAGTATATTGCGAGGAATCTCGATAGAATGCGACGCTATATTTATATCGCCTCGATATTTATGCGCGATCGAAATTCGTGAACTTTGGCACGTGTGACGCGAAGCAAAAGCTCGTCGGCGACACGCGGCCGTTGCATCGTCCGTGCGACTGTGTTAGGGGATAGTGGCGAGCTTTGGAGAGAGGGTTTCATTGTGACGACAATATCGCCTTGGGCGGCATTGGCGACGTAGATATGCAAATTTCGAGGAGTAGTACGGCTTAGTTCTCTGCAATTTCACTTTTATAGATTCGTTAATGTTTGATCATGATTTTTCAAACTTTACCGTACAATAGTTCTTTTCGTAAAATTGTTATTAGTTGCGAGAATTGGCCGAAGCAAAAGATTATTAAAATTCATTAAAAGACAAAAATATAATTTTATTTTTATCAATTTTTACAAAAATTAAAAATTATTGAGATACACGAATTAATTGTTCATTAAAAATATTATACGATGAAACAATAATGTAATAAAAAATTGCAAGTTATATAATATATACATATATCATTTTTATAATTTATAATTTATTTAAAAATAACTAACAAAATAATTTTTTTCGTTTCAGGGGACGGCACCTTTCGCACCGCCACGGCAACGAACAACGTAAGTATAGTATCAAATTGACGCGTTATAGAGTTTCAAAGATAGAGGACGTTCCTCGGAAAATTTACTTTTTATTCACGCGAGACGAAACGAGACAACCACAATCGTGATAATTTCTCGCCAAGTTCTACGCCAATGCATGCACGTATGACTGTCGAGTTGAGGGTTGACAATGTATTTCTGAGTCGTGGTTGCTTTCGTCGTCGCGCAACGTCAGTGATGACGCTGAGTGTCGACTCGGTGGAAGAAGGATGTCAATGAGGGAAAAAGACGGGGAATTCGAAGAGAAAGAGAGACGCTCTAAGGTACATAATCATGCTTGCTGATTTCTTCCCTAATAAAAGTCTTACTGGATCGATTCTCTGCTCCTCACTACGTTGCACAATGACAGTACATATACCTATCACATAGACAAAAGCACAAAACTGATAGCGAAGGTTCTACGATGCACTCTTCGCTGGTATCAACCTTCGTGGATACGTAACGGAGATCCGGGATGAATCGAAAAAGAGTCGTTGTATAAGAAAACAAAAGGACGCGGGGGAGGGATAGAGTAGGGTAGGTAGAGTCACGAAACCGGATACGGGTTAGAAACGCTTGCCGTAGCAGCATCTGGAGCTGCAATTTTTTTTCGGTCTCCCGATGAGCACTCGAAGACACGTGTTTCCGCGCTTTTCTTCTCGCACCATCTTCTTCGCCTAACGATACAATAGTGCTTCTCCGCGTAGCGAACGTAACGATCCTCCGATTCGGTCGATTTGCAAATTAATTTAGCTTTGTCGGTCGACTGTCAACAGCGCATTGATCTTCCACGCAAACAGCACAAGCACGACGCACGTTTACGTAATGCAACGACAGACATTCGGAGGAGTGCCTTGCATTGGTTCGTCACAACAACGCCATTGACTGTTTTTGAGAATGCGGATGTATCTCCAGTCTCGTACAATTTTCTCTCATTACATATTTATATCAATTTTAATATAATATTACGCAAGAGATAACTGGGAACCTTATATTGTGCTCGGTTGAATGGCTTACTCGCAGGTGAGCAAGCCTTTGCCGATAAAGGAGCATTAAAGTCTATTAAGCGGGATATAAATTGAAAACGCGATCGTCCAGTCCCGAAGCTTAATTGAGGCCGACCGAATGAAAGAATACACGCGAGCGTAGTTGGGAATGAAAAGAGCCGTACTATTCATTCGGCGGCGATTCGACCCTCGAGGTCGTCGACGGAAGGCACGAGGGAAGGACGTAAGGGCGCCTCGGTGTCTTCGCAGCGGTGTCGATTTAAAGGGCCAAAAAGCGGTCGAGGGTCCTTGGCCGGGACAGGTCTCAAGGTGCGTGTCTCTGGTGGATTTAAAAGACCCTCACGACGGGGAGGGATGCCTTGGAACGGTAGGACCTTGCCACAACCTGGAACCCAGATGGTTCGATTTCTCCTCCCTCCTACTTATAACCGCCCCCGTTCTTCCACCTACGTGAAAATGGATTTTCGTTCTTCGAGCGCAGTCGTTCGACCGACAAAACTTTTTCGCTCCCGCCCTCTCACGCACGTTAATAACGCATCTCGATGCGGGCCGGCGAGAGGAACCCATCGTTCGACATATGTTTCGGAAGTCATTGTGCGTCATGCGGCGAAAGACGATGTGTAGCGGTAGTTTGAGGGCCCCGTGAACGGTTTCTCTCATTCTCTCCCCGTTCTCTCGCCCGTTCGTTATTAGTACTTTTAATCTCCCGTTATAGACGAGAGCCTCGAAATTGGTGCCGGATACTGTTGAGAGGATCGACCAATCTGCCGCGAACAGAATTCCGCACTTAACTACGGCCAGGGAAAACGCGCAGGCATCGACACAACAGTTACGTTTTTTCTCCCTCTGATCACTCCCTAATACTTTATTCGTTCGTCTAGGTATCTTTTTTCTCTCTCTCTCTCTTTTTTTTATCGTGCCTCGTGCCGAGATGCGAGAACGATTTAAACGCGCACGAGCGGTGGCTCGAGTGGGTGGATAACGATACATAAAGGAGTAACATATTTATGGCGTCAATATATACTCTGAGAGAGTACACAAATTTTGCTTATTTCTGGGGGATTAATTTTTCATAGAGCTCTATTGCACCGCGGACGCTGAAATATGTTTACCGCTAAAACGGGTGAATTAGTTATTTCTCACGATCACTACTACGGTTTCGCCTTTGCCATTAAAAATTTCTCCATGAAGATTGATTTTATCCCCAGAGGCATATTACTAAAGTTTAATTACCAGAGACATATTATTAGTTAATATTATAAACGAAATGTAGTACTAAGATATTATTAATTAATTGCGTTAAAAACGAGATTTTTTCTTACATATGAAAAATAGGAAATTAAATTTGTAGATGTATTAATCAATTTTAAATCATTTTAATGTTAAATGAAGACGAGAAGAAAATGTAATACGCGTGTGTAAAAATTTATTTTAATGGCTCATGCAAAGAGAAGGCGACACAAAATATTGCGAAATGCATAATGAAAAGAAAACGCGCAAGATAAATGTCTAGAGGAGACAGAAGCTACGAAAAGAGGGAAAGATATATATCTCTCCAGGTGTTGTCAGTCGGAAAAGCTGCGATTCGCTGATGCGAGCCACGGCTGGCACGCGCTGCGGAGAGACGAGAAGAAGGGATGCTGCGTGTAAAAAGGGACGGGGCAGGTTTTACAGGCTCGACATTATGTTTACCACACGAAACGCCCCCGCAACGCCTAGCCGCAAAACCGGATGTCTCGTGCTGAGAATTAGCAAGATTTACGGCGCGGCGACAAATCGCCTGCCTTCTCTTTTAACCAATGCATGAAAAGGATCGATGCTCGTTATATTGGCAACGCTTAGAAATCGTTTAAGAGAGGGACCACTTTGCCGAGATATATCGTACAATACCGCTGTACCGCGCTCGTATACCACTTTGTAAATCTTTTGCTTGCCGTAATTAGGCTACCGTTGGCCCTTCACAGTAGAGATGGTCAGTAGAGATGGTCAGTTGGGGAAAAAGAAAAATTTCTTTGGCTATTTCTATCACTATTTCGGTCACTTTGTCACGTTAACAAGACAGCTTTAGGTAAAATCGGAATATACAATAATGCCTGCCTATACGATTGTCCGCGGAGATCTTTGATCTGTCTGCGCCAGTTATTCGTTATTCGTACATCTCGATTTTATTTGCGGAGAAAAGAAATCAACTCTATTATAACGCATAAAAATTGAAGTAACGGTTCAATATTATATTAAAAATTGTTATTATATTTTTTGTGAAGAAATTTTAAATATTTAATAGATCAAATATAACGATTAAAGACGTTTTAAAAAGTTAAATATTTTATATAAAAAAATTGAGTTTTATTTTGCCTTTAAATATTGAAGAAAATCTATCGTATTATGATATTAATAAACTTGTATGTATAAATTAAGTCGAAAAATAATGAGATTTGAATTTGTACAAATACACGCATATATTTTCTAATGAAAAGATACATCTTTTTTCTTTTTCATTTTAGAGATAATTGAGCGCGTGTATGCTTCTCGATGCGTGACAAATGCGCGTACATAGTGGTATTCGGAAGTACGTTCCCTTCCGTGCGAGAATCGCATTCCCTGCGTGTGTGCGCCTCCATATGTACGTGTATGTGCGTGTGTATGCGCGCGAATCGTTTCCGTATACTAATACCCCTACAAATCGATCGTAGCTCCGTCACCTTGATAACCTCTTTCTTTTTTCTTGCTCGCTCCCCCTCGATGGCATACGCGCCGAGGGAGCTGACGGGCGTCTGTGGCCAGACGGAATTTCTATGGGGCACCCCATAGCAGTTCCGTCCTCTAATGTGGAAGTAGCTCGTGCTACCTGAGCAGCTGGGCATGTGTGCGCGCGGAGAAGGGAACTCCCTTCGCGGGAGTTTTATTTTAGCAGTTTGCCTCGCCTTATGGAATATCAAAGAGAGAGAAAGAGACAAAAAGAGTAAGGGGAGGGCCCCATAGATAGACGCCGCCAGGTACCCCGTAAGTTCAACGTCACGCTTGAGAGGGGGGCCATCTGCCCCCTAACGAGTGTGTGACGTCAGGTGTGACGACGTGTGCTGAGCCAAGAAGCTTCCGTCTCTTATATATGTGCATCGTGTTCTTTTCTCCTTTTCTCAAATGTGCATCTAAATGTTCTAATTGCGATCAAAAACAATCTGTTATAATATAATTTATAAAGTGAGAGAGATTGTATAATATGTGATTTTATAAAACTCGAATGAGACGTGTAATATTGTCCACAAATATTATGCTGGAATTTTCTATCTAAAGTAAAGAGGAAAATATTTAATTTATCTCTCTGTAATAAATAAAAGAGAATGTGTCATTTGTAATTTTTATAACTGGATTTTTGTAAGCTTTTGATGATGTGTTTGCGAAAATTTCTCTTCACTAGACCCTTAAAACTGTACATAAAAAATTATTCATTCGCGCGTGTTAAAAGAGAGAAATAATGGGATTGATTTGATGGGGATATATTCGAATCTTCTAGTGTTTCACTTCATCACATTGCGTGCTGCGACTCACTTTTATCGCAGTAGGCGTATTTCGTATCTTTAACAAGACCGTCACATTGTTCTTTATCACGAGGTTTGCTGTTATCGCGTGGGGCGGCTTCTAAAGATATATATACATATACGCATTACATTATGCATATGTAGATTACACGGATGCTTCTTCTATCGAGAATAAATTTGAAGAAATGGAATGTAAGCTAAAGAAAAACACATTTTTTTTTGCAACACTTATCTTTTTTTTTGCTTCAAAAATATAAATAAATTATATATTTTAATCGGAATTAAATAAAATTATTTAAATTCTGTTTAATAATTTGTAACTTGAAATAGATAAACGCGCTCATTAATATTTAAATCATCTTTCTCGAGAGAATGATTAATATCTTTCTTTATATAGAATCTATCCTTCTTAAAATAGAGCGTCTATGAATTG